AATCTCTTTCGCTTGAGGCTGCTGATAACTGTCCCCTTGGCACCGCCAAGAGTGTGGTCGTTGGGGTTCGTCGCTTGGGTAGTCTTCTTGATGACGCCCTCTCGCGGCGCACAAGGCTCTTTGACAGCTCGAAAGGTATGCTCATCTCTCTTCTTCTCTTTCTTCTTCTCATGCATCATCTGACTCCATTCTTGCGATCGGAGTCGCTCCGTTTCCTCTTCTTCGCCCGCCGACTCATTAGAGGCCCGCCTCATGCACCTGGCGAGCTGTTCGCGGGGTATGGAGACGAACGCCATTGGTTGACATAGCGAGGGCGTGGCGTCGTCGCTTCTTCGCCATCCGATGCCAGGTAGCAGGGTCTGTGCCGTTGTTGCAGCCGCAGGAGCCAAGATTCGAAGACTGGCAAGGGGAAAGCAAGAACCTCGCCATAATGTTTCTTCAGGCGTCTAAGAGCTAGGAGAGCCATATGAGCACAGTCGATCGCAAAGTGGCACCTATATGTTGCCGTCTCCCGCAGCGCCTTTGCAGATCTGCCTTCTGCCCCCTTGCATTTTGCGTGTTGCATGTTCCATGTTGCCTGTTGCATGCAGGACAAACATGGGACCAGGCCGTCGGGCCGCCCAAGGCATTCCGTGAAACTGCTGCTGCAGCTCATCTGGTAAGCGAGGAGGCGATCACAAACTACCGAGGTCCCTGACTTGAGCCGCAGCATCGTGCTGACTAGAACGGTCATCGACATAATTCCCCCGCTCTGATTTCGAATTCTTACTGGCGGCAAAATGGATCTGCATTCCTTTATTCGTTCTCCTTTAACGGCACTATCTGCGTCTGAGCGCTCACGGCGCTTTAGCGTGATGCCCTAGTTGAGTCTTTGATCGATCGTAAATTCGACCTCCAGACGACCCGAAGCCTCGCTTCCCATACAATTGCGGACTCAGCAAATCCGAGAAATTGTCCCCGTGCAGTCCTATGGAAGTGCTTGCACTGAGTAAGGACAACATGTGCGCTGGAGTAGTAGGCAAGGGATGATGAATATGGCATATTCCTATGTGTAAATATCTATGACCATGGATACTACGCCACAGGGCTATAGAGTCATCCCGGGACCTCGTTCATTCATTCATTACACCTCTTCTCCACTATTCCCCCCGCTTCCCTTCCCCGCTCCCCTGAGAGAAGATAGAGTCGTATTACACTCTCGAGCATTCATCCCTCTGTGCCATTGGGTTCTGGGCTTGCAGCCTTCGAACTTAGGCCGCTGTGCCATTGCCTTCGAGCTTGCGCCGCTACGCCATTGGGTCCTCGGCCTGCACCCTTCGAACTTAGGCTGACTTTGTGCCTTGCCACCTCCCATTGCTGCACCTCTAGATCTCGAGAAGAAAATGCAGCTGTACCGTGCTCCCCCTGTAGTTCGTCCCTCTGTACCAAAAAGGTTGTGCACATGCCGCCCTGGGAGTTTGGCTGCTTTGAGCTTATGCTTTCGTCTCGCTTGGGGCCTTTTCTGTATTTGGCAGCATCTATATCGAGGTCTTCAGTTAAGTCTGTCTCTCTCCCCTGGCCATCGCTATTTGGTTCTGCATCCCTGGATGTGCATTGTGGATATTTCTTCGAAAACTCAGCGCTTCGCACTTTACCTTCTTCCACCATCTGAGGCGGGGTTTTTATTGCACACGCCAACCAACTATAGGCTTGCGCACAGAGACATTTATTGTACACACCAACTACAAGCGTGCACAGGCGAATAGATCGAAAATACGTTCATCGCACACACCAGCCAATACAAGGGGGTGCAAGTGTGCGGACAAAACCATTCATTATACACACCGGCCAAGTACAGGTGTGCGCAGGTGAACGCATAAATATCTTCATTGCACACATGAACCAACTGTAGGCGCACTTCTCACACAGACGCGTCAAATTGCAAACGGTATACGGGATAAATACCTCTGTACACACACAAGCGCATCCACGCGTACGCGTGGAGTTGAAGGCGTGTATATGATAAGAGTTTCTGTGCGAACACCTGCACCCACACGGATGCATCGAGTTGAAGGGAGTGTGTCTGTGCGCATACCTGCGCATGCACGCGTCGACTTGCAGGGGGCGTATATGATGAATACCTCTGCGCGCATGTTTGGGTATGAACGTGTGGACTTGCAGACGGTATATAGGAGGAATGTCTCTGTGCGCACACCTGCATATGCACGGGTGCTTCGAGTAGGAGGGAGTGTCTCTGTTGGCAAGGTGTGTGTATACACGCAGGGACGTCCAAAGAGAACATGGGATGAATGTATCTGTGCGCACATAAGCGCATGCACGCGTGGACTTTAAGGGGGTATCTCTGTCCGCAAACGTACGTATGCACACGTACGCGTGGAGTTAGAGGGGGTGTATGTGGTGAATGTAGCTGTGCGTACACCTGCACATATACGGATGCGTCGAGTTAGAGGGAGGGTATTTGTACGCATACCTGCGCATGCACGTGTGGACTTGCAGACGGTATATGGGAGGAATGTCTCTATGTACACACCTGCGCACGGTATATGGGAGGAATGTCTCTGTGCGCACACCTGCACATGCACGCGTCGACTTGCAGGGGGTATATATAGCTAAGGCCTCTGCGCGCATGTATGCGTATGAACGCGTGGACTTGCAGACTGTGCATGGGCTGAGTGCCTCTGTGCACACACCTGCAGATGCACGGGTGCGTCGAGTTAGAGGGAGTGTCTCTGTTGGCAAGGTGTGCTTATGCACGCAAGGACGTCCAAATGGAACATGGGATGAATGTATCTGTGCGCACTGCACATGTACGGATGCGTGGAGTTGAAGGGAGTGTGGGAGTTATTGGATGACGTTCACAAGGACCTGAACCGCGTCATCAACCAGCCCGATGTGGAGGAGCCAGACATCACCCGCAAGAAGCTCAGTGAGGGTAAACGAGAAGAGAAAGTGACTGCCAAAGCTGGTCCAGACACCTTGCTATGCTTCCTACTGTGACTCACAAGTATACAAACTCATCCCCAATCAATGTTTAGCAACACTTGCAATGTCGGTGTTGTGTCCTCGACCATTATTGCAGTCGCTTGTTTCTCATGCAATAAGGTCTCTTCTCGCGCAAACGCAGCAACCACGCCGGCTACCCACCTCTGAGCTCTGAGTCGTGCGACATGCACAAACAGCTAGTCTGACCGCTTTCGTGTCTTCGTGTCTCTCTTTGGTGATAGAAGTGCAGCAGACCCTCAAGAGGGAGAGCATGTAAGAGATGGATGCTTGCATGAGGAATGATGTACCTATGTACCTTGTCAGCGCCCTGCCAGTGAGAGAAGTCACCGTCGGGTAGATTCTTCAGCTTGCTGTCGGGATTCACCCGTCGATCCCTCCGCCTTGAGAAGGATGCTGGCTGAAGCCTTGGACCAACACCGTGACTACTTCATTCTTAGCACGTCACACACATAGGCGAAGAGCACACGTAACGATAAGTCATTTTTGTATGCTTTTTTGCGCCTGCTTATACTAGATCGAATTTGTAGAGCTGTAGAGCTTTTTGAAGAGTTGCACTCTCAGTCGCGGTCCCCGAGTGTTGCACAGACCACTGATTTCATGGGCATCTCTCTTAACGTCTATCGGGAGGCAGATCGATCGACGATAGATGCCTAGGGAATCCACACCTCCCTACACACAAACAGGCACACAAAAGGTGATCCTTCTGGTCTTAGATCGTT